ATATATACACTGTATATATATTTACTTTACACACTGTTAAATGAAAGAAAAGTGTTGTAAATGCACACAGGATGTTTGACAACACCTACCCCCATCTCTCAAGTACTCATGAGGTGGTTTTTTTGCTTGTGTTTTTTTCTCGGGCTTTTAGTGACAATTATTCTAGCATTTGTGCTATCTGACAATCAAAATTTGAAGGTAAACTGCAAACTCATATTAATTCGAATTAAAAACTGAATAACATTTTTATGATTTACCAGACTACAAGGATTTTCTTTCTGTCTGCCTTGTATTTCAGCAAGTCTTCAGCTTGAATGTGATAAAGAGATCACAGCCCATGTTGGAGGTGAATTTATCCTTAAATGCAAGTATGGCATAAATCATTTTCTGTACAGCAAAAAGTATTGGTGTAGAGGGCCCTCCAGAAGCAATTGTGAGATTGTGGCAGACTCAGAAAACAGTCGAAACACACACAGGTCCCAAGTGATAGATTTAAACAGAAGGGGGCTGTTTGTGAAAGTCACAAATCTCCGATTTGATGATGCTGGAGCGTACTGGGTTGGGATTGATAAGATATATGCTGACATCATGACCCAAGTCAAAGTGATTATCACTGAAGGTAAGAATAAAAGACGTTATGCAACTTAGAAAATAAACATTATTTTACAATAACAGTGAAATATGCTGCATCACAGCCTCTGTTTGGTGTTAAGCTGACTGGACTGACATTTCTTTTTTTGTGTCAGTTCCAGTGTCCAAGCCCCGACTTTGGCCCCTGAGCTCTCTGGTGGACAGGCCAACATGTTGGGGGAAGTCAGTTACCTTACGCTGTGGTTGTGCAAAGGGCACTGGTGTTCGTTATGCCTGGTATCAGCACATTGACAGAAAGGACTTCCTGCTCCATAAGTCTTCAGACTTGTATCTTCACTGTGGCGCAGTTCAAAAGGACTGTAGTTATTTCTGTATTGGCAGTAATGACATAAGCAGTGAGAAGAGTGAGCTCATCTCTGTGCAGGTTCTGATGCCTGCAAACAGCAGCTGTATCTATGTTGTTAATATTCAGGGTAAGAACAAATATGATATTCCATTGTGCAAATATAAATGTGAGAACTGTCTTTACAGTGATTTACTGATTAACAAAATGCTTTTAGAACAAATGTAAAAAATGTAAAAAAAAAAACAAAAAAAAACAAAAAACATGCAGCATTTTTATAACAACTATTTATATTTACTGACAATATACAATGACTAAAACAACAAGTCAATTACTATATTTCATTTTAAAACATGGCAAGTGTTCTGTTGTAATGTTTGAGCATGGACGTGGTTCTGTTCCCATAGTGATAATTTATTTAGTTAGTTTGTTTTTTTAATTTAGAATGAGATTTTTTAAACATTAAGACATTAATTTAAACTTAGTGGGCCAAAATTCAAAACTGGAACAAAGTCGCGGGCTAACATTAATATTTATTGAAAAAAAATCTTCCTCCAGATTTAAGAATGAATGTCTTCTTATGGACTCAAACAAGTTTTGCTGAAAAACTGAATATGGAACAAGCAAAGCTTAATACTAAACAATATATATATATTAGCTGTATAATACCAGTTGGCCAGCTCTAATAATAATTTGGTATGGCTTTGCGGGCCAAATTAAATTAGGCTGCGGGCCAAATTTGGCTCACGGGCCAGAGTTTGACACCTATGATTTACACCATTCATAAATGTCCCATGAAAAAGATTACAATATTCATAGCCTCATATATTAGTGGCAAAAAATAGACTATTTGTGCATTTGTGACACTTTAAAGCCAAAAATTTATTATGAAATTAAAATGGCATTTAATAATTTTTTTTATGCAACTTGTGCATGCATGCGTGCATGTCTGCGTGTGTGTAGTATAGTAAACTATTGCTTGGAAGAAAGGATTAAAGACATCGTGTGTAAGTTTTGACTTCAGTGACTCCTAGAGGTTATAACAGATATGACCGTATGTACAAACCCTTTATGTACAATTTTTCCTTAGGGTCATTCTATTTTTTTATTAACAAAAATCAGGTCATTAGTATTATATTCTAAGCATAAAAACACAATAAACATAAAAGACAGAGTTTAAAGTTACCATGAAATATTCTAAACAACAACGTCTGTTTTCTTCTCTCTTGTTTTTACAATGCTGTAAAAGCTTCATCCTCAAGGTCTATAAAGCATTATCATTGTAATCTTTTCTTTTTCATTACCAGGTCAACCAATTTATGACTGTGCAGACAGAATGAGCACAACCACAGTCACAACACCAACTCTGACCTCCTGCCTAGTTATTATGAACATCAGTGATAACACAAGAAATCAATCTTTACAACTGAATGAAACCACTCAAGGCTTTTTTTTCATCAGGTTAGTCAATATGCTACTTTTTACTTTATGGAAGAATCACTAAAGGCTGAAAAGAGAATTTAAATTTGTTGAAATTTCACCATAAGATGCGGTCTGAAAACCTGCCCTACTCCCCTTTTCTTTTCTAGATCATTGACGGGACTGCCACTGTGGTACATATTACTGCGTTGGAGTTCTTTTCTGGCCTTGTTGATAATCATTTGCACAGCTGTTAAATGCACAAGAAGAAGATACAAAAAATATGTCAACCAGAAGAAAAATATTCATTGCAGGCGAATTTACCATGCGTGTTAGTGACCTGAATTTTACTGTGGTAGTTCTGTGGAAGTTAGAATGATGCCTCTGAGATAGCAGCTTTGTGGCTTAATTGTTGGCCAAAGTTCTTCGATCATGTGGGCCTGTTTGTGAAGAGGGTAGGGCATAACATGTCAGACTGCAGAATGACTCATGCAATACTGACCAAAGTGGTCTGTTATTTATTTGAAATACTAGAGTTTGGAAGAGTCTACAAGACCATTGAAATAACAGTTTTAATTATGATTGCTGATTGCTTTATCAGATCAACTTTTCATATAGTAGTTACACAATTTTGTATACATTAGTTATACAAAATATTGACATTAAAACCAACAAAGCTTTTCAGAAGGCAGCTAATGATGATTATCACGATCAATGAAAATAAAAGGACTTATGGTATTGTCTTAGGTAGTGGAAATAAATGTAAACAAACTTCAGACATTTTACCGTCTATCTAAGGCCCTCTTCACTTCTATAAACTGATGGAGAGTACCAGGTATTTAACTTTTATTTACCTCTAAGTGGACATATCTCCTTTGCGGCATTCCTGACTCAGACCTAGTCATGTTAGTCCACTATACAGATATATGGAGAGTCATACGAGAGCCAATCAAGAGGATTGTTTTAATAATGATGATGATGACTAAGAATGTAGCCCAAGATTATTAAAAAGGTGTGTTTCAGGTCCCTGAATTTCCACATGAATTAGACTGATGATTATGAAAATATATAAATAAATTTGCAGTAAAACAGTCATTGACTACCATGTACTTTTGCTGTTTTTGTATTAGCGACATTAATTATACTTAAATTGTGGAGTCTGGAAGTTTTATATGATAAATGGTTTATTGCTGTTACAGGTTATGAAGAAATGCAAATACCTCACCCCCTTATTGTGAAATCAGTATCACAACAATGTGTCAGTACTTGGGCGTTGTAGGGCATTAAAATATGTCATATCAGGTTGATTAAAATTCTAGTGCTGCTGGCTCAACACTAGAAACAGACTAAACTATAAGGTAGAATTCAGCAATATTACCCTTGAATTAGTGATGTATATGAACTGTAGCATACAGTTGTCCAAATATTTAGTTTACTGGGTCTTGACTGATACTATTTTGTTTCCATTCTCAGAGAAAGTGTCAGAATATTCCAGGTTAATTACTACTCACGTTGTACTGTAGTTGATTTCGTTACACTTAATGTTAAAATAATAAAACTTTTCATTTCAGACATTATAAAATCTCTCTGTATTTTATATATTTCATATTTAGCAGTGATACTACTTGGGTATTTGATTTCTCTCTTAAAGATGTACCAATATACCTATATGCAATATAGGTATTTTGGTACATATACCTTGGTAATATACAATATATGTACCAATACACCTACCAATACCGGTGCCTCCTCTCAGTGGGACATGCCCTGGACACCTCGACAAGGAGGCATCCTGGTTGACAATTCTACTCTGAGCCCCTACGAATGGCTGAACTTCTCCCCCTAAGATCATCCACCTTTCAGAGAAACCTAATTTCTGCCACTTGTATCTGTGACCATAGGTGAGGGTAAAGACATAGAAAGACCAGTCAATCAAGAGCTTCACCCCCACAGACCAGTACACGTCCATATCACTGCAGCCGCAGCACTAATCCATCAGTCAATCTCCCGCTCCCCTCTCCTGCTGCTTCACACTCGGCTGTGAACCACTTCAGTGCAAGCTGGAGGCTACAAGCTGTATCCTTTATCCAAGGTTCAACTAACAGACTCTCTTCTTGCCAGCACCCCGGCATAGACTTTTCCAGGGAGGCTGAGGAGTGTGATCCCCCAATAGTTGGAGCACACCCTCCAGTCAACCCCTTCCCAAAGATAGGAACCACTACCCCGGTCTGCCAATCCAGAGTTACCACCCCTGATCTCCAAGCAAAATTGTAGATGCGTGTCAACCAAGACAACCCTAAAGCATGCAGAGCCTTCAGGAACTCAGGGCAAATAACATCCACCACAGGGGCCCTACCACCAAGGAGTTATTTAACTCCTTCAGTGACCTCACCCTCAGTGATGAACGAGTTGTCCTCCTCGTCCTGAGACTTTGCTTCCTCTATGGAAGAAGTGTCAGTGGGATTAAAGAGGTCATCAAAGTACTCCTTCAATAATCCAACAATATTGTGATGATATTCTGTTCCTAACCAAGCTGACTTTGGAGAAGAGGTTGTCACGATCCGCAGTGG